ATAGACTGCTGTTGGAGGTGGTTCAAGTGCCTACCTTGAATGACTTCAAGAGATTTGGATATTTATTTTGCTGGGATCCTATGATCCCTGCTGACTTCCTGCCTCTGGGGCAGGGGGCTGGACTCGATGATCTTCTGAGGTCCCTTCCAGTCCTAGTGTCTATGAATCTATGAATCTAGGTGGAGAAGGCTTTCTGATGGCCCCGATGAGAGGGGATTATCAATACTGAAGTGAAGATCTGAACATATGACACAACAATGAAAACGAAATAGCGTAGAGCTAAACACACACTGAAGACAAGATCTCCCAGCTCTCTGCGGTATGAGTCAGAGGAGGAGAGCTTGAGCAGCTGGGGCACTTCACAGAAGAACTGGTTGATGGTATTTGAGTAGCAGAAAGGTATGGTAAAGGTGTTCCCAGTGTGCAGTGCAGAGTTTTGACACCAGCAGCCTAAGCATTGGCAGCCATCTGGGTGCAAGCTCTCCTGTTCATTATTATCTCATAATGCAGTGGTTTGCAGATTGCAATGTATCAGTCACATACCATAACCGTGAGAAGGGATAAATTTGCTCCCAAGAAGCAGAAGAGACAAAACACTTGGGCAATACATCCAGCATAGGTAATCGAGTTGGTATTTAATAAAGAATTAGACATGGATTTGGGCACGGTCACTGAGATGGAGCTAAGGTCCAGGAGAGAGAAATTAATCAAGAAAAAGAACATGGGGGAATGATGCTTGTGGTTGAGAGTTACAATTGTACTAATGAGGAGATGGGGGTTTGGTTGGACATTTCCCTCTTCAATGCATTGTGCAAGGTCTGTGAAGGAAAGACAAGGGTACTGGTCAGGATCCAAGTAATAAGTATAACATAAACATGGGCAGCATCCCAAGAGTCATCTTGCCTGGACTGAATCTACACCAAGTTCAGCCTGCCGGGATAAGCTGATTTATATGGTCCCCACCCCCCGCCTGTACGGTCATCTCTGCGCCATGATAGGACAATCCCATCTTCCTGTTACCTTCACTTTGTGTCATTGATCTTTGTCATTTGGGCACAAGAACTTAAACTCTTTGGGCAAGGGATGCTTCTCAGTATTTATTTGCTCATCACACTTTGTTGGCTGCCCTTAGCCTAATTTGAGAGGCATTTTGGGGTGTAGCAACTGTGGGGCTTACTTAGTTATCCTTCCTCCCAGGTTTTTTTTTTTCTGGAATACAACATAATCTGGATGCAATGAATAGGTGGGATTGTAATTCTGGTGTTGCCGGGTAATACTGAATCTCTGTTGTGGGGGTTAGAATTTAAGCCTGGGACGAGATTTCTTTTTAAATTGTTGTCTCTTAAAGACATAATGTTTTGCAATATATTCATTTCTTCCAAAGCATAAGTTTATGCAGAAGAGCTACAGGTAAAATATATAGGTGGGAAGATTATTTGGTTTAAATCTGCAGTCTCCAGAAGATTTTGGTCCAAAAACCTCTAGTTCCAAAGTCACTGAGATACGTGGGTTCTTGGGAGCAAGTTCAGATTTTCTAAAGCGAACTGTTTTCATTTCTTTTCCTTTTTTTCTTTTCAGGTAAAGAATTTTGAATACCTTGCTATTAAAATTTTGATATATTTCCAGGTATGTCTTTTTTAGGTGCTTAAATAAAATACACATCCCCCATTTACCAACCAACCACAGCTAATTGCAATAACAGACTTACAGCAATGCTCTTTGTGACGTTTTTCTCAGCTTCTGACAGATCATCCAATGCCAGGATTCCTCGCTTATTTTCCTGCTACTGATCTATCTAATTTCCCTTTTCCCTGCCACTATCAAATCTTTCAAAGTCACATTTTCTTAGTTGGAGCTTTGTCTTCACTCCAAGACTGAACTGGCAAAGTAGATCCAGTTTCTCTCTGCACATGAGGGTGAACTTCACTGATATGGAAGGACTGATGCTGCAGGAAGGTGATTTATCCACATCTCTCTTCTTAGGGCTTCTGAGATTTGTTCCCTAGAGCCCAGCCTAGCTTTGAAGCACAGAATCAGAAATCAGCCATCCTGGATTAATATATTTTCAAGACGGAAAGTTTTATTTTGATTGTTTAGTTTGATCACCTTTTATCTATCCTATCCTGCTTCTGGGCCAGGATATATAGCATCTGAGAGCAAGATAAAAGGATTCAAACATCTAAAAAATCAGTGACATACGTAGTCACATTTCAGAAAACAGCTACACAGGTAAGAGTGCTGGCTCATTCGTGTAGCTTAGGTGGTGTTGTGAGTACCTTTAAGATCTGCCTGTATTTTACACATAACAGTGTCTCTGATATAGGTGGCTCAGTATCTTTTGTCTTAACTTTTATGTCCTGTAATTCTCCATGCTCAGGTATATGTGTCATTATATCCAACTTGTTACTTTTCCATTGCTTTGGTTCTCTTTAATTGCACAACAATAAATCCTGGGATTGGCAAAGCAGCAGAAGAGACTGAGGAATGAAGTCTTCAGTGCTCTGTTCCTTAGGGTACGTCTACACTATACCAGGAGAGTGCACTAGGGGTATGTGAAGTGGACCCTATTCGATTTGGATTCAGATTTGGCCTGAATCCGGGGCAGTGATTCGATTCATTGACTTGGATCACTATTCCTGATTTCGATTCGGCTGAATCCTATTCTGAAGATTCAATGCTGATTTGGAGAACTGGCGATTGGCACACAGCTTGAAATATTTTTTCTACATACTTCGAGGTACCACCATGGGATTAAGCCCTTCAGGACATTTGTAACACTTTACTAAATTATTGTTACCTTGTTTTCTGTCAGGCCAAAGTCTCAAATCTGCATCCCCAACCTGCTCATCCCAACCTATAGCCTTTCTAGCTGACCATTCAGGCTGGGGAAGCCTGTGCAGAAACCTCCAGGAGGGCCTACCCTTCTGCCCACTCCCTACCAACAGTGACTGGTCACTCCCGCAATTCACTGCACTGCCATTGCAACTCCTGACCTGGCAGAAAACATGATGTGACTCTACTGCTCAGTGATGTCAGGCTACTGTGCACTCAGTGTCAAGAAAAACCCATTTCTTGGTGCAACTCGGCAATAACTCCTTTTCCTGTGCAGTCATTTAGTACTTGTTCATACAAGTACTAAATAACTAGTGACTACTCCTCAGTCAGAGTCTCATGTAGACACGGTCAGAAAGCAGCCAGAGTCCAATGCCCTAGCTCTGACAAGACCAGAATCAGAAACCGCAGCTGTCACGAACTGCAATGGCTCAGTTGGTATTCTCTTAAGTGTACCTGCCTTCCTCACAAAAGTACAGTCTGGGTATGGCCACCATTTTGAAAGAGATATGTGCATTGCCATCTTCATCCAACCAAAAGAGATTTGGGATTCCAAAACAAGTCATCACAGCAATGAAAGGGTCTGTGACTCTTAGGTGCATGTCACGTGTCAAACTATGCAAACTATGCAAAATGGAGGAGGAATAACCAACCTCTTTTCCAGCAACCTAGTACTCAGAGCACTTTCTCATTACTCAGCCTCATACTCGGTTCTGGAAGCAGATATCTCAGTTTCCAAGCAACTATGTTGGCCACAGGAAGCTTGAACCCCCACCACCCTCTTCTTGGACATGTATCCCATCACTACTAAAAGTTAATGTGCTTCAATTTACCATTCAGTGAACAAATGCATTGATAAAAATCAGAACACTTTGAAGAAAATGGTCAGTCCCAACAACATCAACAGGGTCAATACATGATATTATTATTCAGTCATACATTGCCTTAGGAAATACTGCAAGTCCTCCTCTTCCAGAATGCTGTTCCATCATGCTAAAATTGACACAGCATTCATGTATTTAGCCCACTTGGGTTTAACATGAAGAAAGGACACATATGTAAGATTGTGGGTTCATATTAACAGGTGGCTAAACTTGTGGTAGGGTCCAACCAGCATTAATATAGTCTTTTAACTGGGGATGTGCCCATCCAGAAATCTACAGAAACTCTTTTCCTGCCATTTAACATTGGAAGGAAATACTGATGATGCCATTCTTTAAACCAAGGATGCCATGATATTTAAACCAGGATCACCAGGGCATGGGTGGACAATTACTTGTGCAAGCCCTGGAAAAATCGGGGCAACCACAGAATTTGGTAACACAGAGGATCTCACTCCGACCCCAGCCCAAGGATAAGCCTCTTTTAAGAGCACTGGGAATCCCAGAGCTTCCAATGGCAGGCTTAGCTTCCTGTACACAAATGCCAGGAGCATGGGGTCTAAGAGGACAACCTGGCCCTCTTGCTAACCAAAAATGAATACAATCTCATAGGGATAATGAAGCCCTGGTGGGACTCCATCTATGACTGGACCACAGGTTTTGATGCCTATACTTTGTACAGGAGGGTTTGTGTTGCAAGGAAGGGCAGGCATGTAACTCTATGTGAAGGAGCAGTACACTTCCCTACAAGCAGAGATTGGCACCCAAGGAGAGTGACTTGAGACCCTCTGGGTTACAATACAGGGAGACCATGGTTGAGGGGATATAACTATAGGAGTCTATTAGAGACCTCCTAACCAGGAGAAAGAGCTTGACCATGACTTTGCTAGGGAACTAGGAGAAGCTGTACACTTTCAGTGCACAGTCATCATCAGCAACTTCAAGCACCCTGACATCTCATGGGAAGAGCATTCAGCCAAATCTGATTGGTTGCAACACTTCCTCACTTGCATTGAGGAGCTCTACTTGACTCAAGAAGTCTACCAGTCCACAAGAGGTAGGGGTCTGCTGTATCTGGTACTGGCCATTGGGGATGATTCAAGATTTATTTACTGTAGTTAAGATATGGGCTAATTCTACTAAGTTTAATGTGATCAAACTGCCATTGGATCCCAAGACACTTCCTTTTGGGAAGTACTGTTTCAGTAAAACTAGATAATTTGGTAAAATCTTGAATATATCTTGAATGCCAGCTTGAGGTCAAACACTTCACACATGCATACAATATCATGAGAAGTGGTACCCATCTGTCTGTCTGCCCTACAGAGGGAAAAAGAGAAAAAAAAATGATGCGTAATAAGACATCTAACACTTCTACTGTCTCACTGTCTATTTGCTTGCACTCCATTGTTTAAATCCCCTACATATTAGTGATGCAATTAATAATAATAATTGAATCACAATTCTATTATTCTAATAATTCTAATAATAATTATAATCACAATTAATAACAATAGAATAGAAGGGACTCAAGAATCATGTGGTCCCCACCCTGCACAAATGCAAGGATGTTACTCCAAAATTATCCCTGGCCCATGTCCATCCAACCTTTTCTTGAAAACCTCCAATGAAGGAGACTCCACAACTTCCCTGGACAATCTATTAAATGTCCTCACTCCTCTGAAAACAAGGGTGTTTTTTTCCTCAAATCTAATCTAAAATTACTTTGCTTAAATTGGAAACTTGACATCCTTCCCTATGCAGCAATGGAGAACTGTTGCTTTCCACCCACTACTGCATGGCACTTATTCAGATATTTCCAGCCTGCTGTGATGTGCCTCCTTAATTGCCTTTTCTGCCAGCTAAATATGCCTTGTTCTCTCAACCTCTTCTTGCATGGCTTGCATTCCAACCCATTATCATTCATGTCACCTATCTCTGAACTTCCCTAACTTTTCAATATTTTTTTTTAAATATGGAGCCCAGGACTTCACATAATAGTCTAGATGAAGCCTAACCAGCAGCATGTAGATTGGCACTATAGGATCATAGAAGCATAGAAACATAAAACCGGGAGGGACCTGTTCAATCATCAAGTCCAGTCCCCTGCCATGGGCAGGAAGTTATAGGACTCAGATGTGCTCTTTTCCATCCTCACCTTGAACACCTCCAGGGAGGCTGACTGCACCACCTCTGCTGTGAGTGTGTTCCAGATTCTGGTGACCCTTACAGAGAAGAAGTTTTTCCTTATGACCAATCTGAATTTCCGTCTATTAGTTTATGCCCATGGGTCCTCATCTTCCCTTGAGGTGCCCTCCTGTATAGTTGCTCTCCTAGTTCTTGATGCTGCCCCCTGATGTGCTTGTAGGCAGTTATCAAGTCAGCTCTCAGCCTTCTCTTACTCAGCCTGACCAGGCCCAGTTCCCGGAGTCTCTCCTCATAGGGCCTACCCTCCATGCCCTTACCCATATGGGTGGCCCATCTTTGTACCCTCTCAAACTTATCCACATTCTTCTTGAAGTGTGGTGCCTACAACGTGTCACAGTACTCCAGTTGAGGCTGATTAGAGAGGGAGGAGCACCTCCCTGGATCTATTGGCCACACATCGGCTGATGCACGCCAGAGTTTTATTGTCCCTTCTGACAGCCTCGTTACACTGTTGGCTCATATTCGTGTTCCAGTCAGTTGTGGTCCCCTCTGTCTCATTCAGATGCTGTGCCAGCCAGTGGACCACCACCCACTGTATATTTGTGGTGAGGGTTCTTCCTACCCAGGTGAAGGACCTTGCACTTCTCCCTCCCTGTTAAACCTCATCTGACTTTATTCCACCCATAAATCCTGTCTGTCAAGGTCATCCTGATCTTTGCCCTATTTTCTGGTGTGCCCGTGTATCCGCACAGCTTGGTAATGTCTGCTGACTTAATCATAGAACTTTCCAACCCCTTGTCCACATTGTTAATGAATATATTAAATAGCATGGATCCAAGCACCGATCCCTATCACCTCCCATGGTTTCTAACTAATACTTGTCTTGTTGCAGCCTAAACTGCATTCATGTTTTTGTAGCTACATCAAATTGGTGATTCATGTTCAGTCTGTGATCCACCAGATCCCCAAGATCCTTTCCAACAATGCTGCCACACAACTGTTTATAACCCAGCCTGTATTTGTGCTTTTAATTATGCTTCCTTAGGTGCAACAACTTGCATTCCTTTCCTTGGACTTCATCCTTTTGTTTCTAGCCCAGCTTCCCTGTCTGTCCGGGTCCATTTGAATTCTGTACCTATCCTCTAAAGTGTCTGCAGTTCATCCCAGTTTCACAAAATCTGGACATTTGCCTATATCCAAATAATTGATTACACCAACTGGTAAATAAACATCTTCCATTCATCATCTTGCAATTGGTGGCATTTATTTTAGGTGGCGCACACAGTAAAATTGATGCATAAAACATCGCTTTCCCACTTCAATGGTGTTAACACAAAATGACCCAAGTCAAGCGTCATTCTACATACAAAGCTACAGACTTAAACCACCACCTTTATTGTTTTCATGCTATAGTGTGCAACCAACATACAAAACATGATTTCATGAGTTAATTATTATTTCTGGAGTATTTTCCACAAAACCTTTGGAGCAGTTTCCTCAGGGCAGCTTGGATCTCCTTGTTCCTCATGCTGTAGATGACTGGATTCATCAATGGAGGCACCACACAATACAGTACAGTTGCCAAGAGATCCAGAGGGGACAGAGAGTCAGAGATGGGCTTCATGTAGGCAATTGCACCAGTGGAAAGAAGCAGGGAGACCACAGTAAGGTGAGGAATGCAGGTGGAGAAGGCTTTCTGATGGCCCTGTTGAGAGGGGATTCTCCACACTGCGGTGAAGATCTGAACATACGACACAACGATGAAAACAAAACAGCATAAACATAAAAACACACTGAAGGAAAGGGCTGCCAGCTCTCTGCGGTATGTGTCAGAGCAGGAGAGCTTGAGCAGCTGAGGTATTTCACAGAAGAACTGGTTGATGATATTTGAGTGGCAGAATGGTATGGTAAAAGTGTTCCCAGTGTGCAGTGCAGAGTAGATGACACCAGCAGTCCAAGTACAGGCAGCCATCTGGACACAAGCTCTCCTGTTCATTATTATCTCATAATGCGGTGGCTTGCAGATGGCAATGTACCGGTCATATGCCATAACCGTGAGAAGACACATGTTTGCTTCCAGGAAGCAGAAGAGACAAAACACTTGGGCAACACATCCAGCATAGGAAATCCACTTGGTGTTCAATAAAGAGTTAGACATGGATTTTGGTATGGTCACTGAGATGGAGCCAAGGTCTAGGATGAATAAATTTATCAAAAAGAAGTGCATTGGGTTATGCAGGTGGTGGCTGAGGGCTACAGCTGTGATTGTTAGGAGATTCGCCATCAGGGCTGCCAGGTATGCTGCTAGGAAGAGGAGGAAGTGTAAGATCTGCAGCTCCCGAGTGTCAGAAAACCTCAGGAGGAGGAATCCTGTCCCTGTGCTTCTGTTGGACATTTTTCTCCTCGGTGCCTTGTGCAAGGCCGGTGAAAGGAGAACAAAGGCAGCGATCAGGGTCAGAGCAGCAAACGCACGAGGGAAGCTCACATCAGTTGTAACATCTCGACCAAAATGTCAAAGGTGACCACGTGGGACTGCTGGGAACAGGTTAGTGGAAAGCAGGTTTTTTGTTTTTTTTCTTGTTGCACATATTATCTTTTCTGTAAAAGTTGTTGCTTGTCGCCATACCTTTTTAAACACCTGGGCCATCTAAAAAGAATATTTCAGGGAAAAGGAAAACATTTTTAAATTATTTTAATTGATCCTGTAATGCCTCCTGGAGTGTGTTCTTTCATTGCCTTCTTTTCCCTTCTCTTCCAAGGACTCTCCATGAATAAACCCATCTCCCCTCAGCAAACTGGCACAATGATGGGATATAGCCAGACCCAGGAACCAGCCGGGAAAGAAGAACAGTGGCCTGAGGTGTTGAAACAGTCACCTATGAACCATCAGAAACAGCATGTGAATAAAATTATCCATATGCTCTTTTTAGCAGGAAGTAATTCTGCATTTGTATTTTCCTAACAGAAGCAAAAGCAAGAACTACAGCAACAGTCAGTGGCCCAGCAACAACAATCTCTCATTACACTGAGTAGGGATGTTAATTTTGTGAGATGTCTCCCCTGGGTTGGACTGGACTGGACTTGATCAACTGCAACCCGCTTGCCCACATGCTAACTGATGTTGCCAGAGATCTCCAGCAGATGGTTGGGACAGAATTTCCCTTCACAAAAATGATGCTGACACTTCCCCTAAACATCAAATGTGACTTCTAATTTGATTCCTACTATATCATTTATCAAATTCCAGGGATAGAAGTGAAAACCTTGGGCTGTAGTTCCCAAGATGACTTCTGGAGCCCATTTTTGAAGTTGGGTGTTGTGTTGTCAACCCGAAAAGCTTTTGGCACGGAGGCCCTTGCTAGATGACCTCCTATGAAAAGCAGCTCTGCAGTCTCTCATTGAAATTCCTACACAGCTCTCTAAGGGAATATAATCTGGTCCCAGTCACTTGCTTACTGTTTTAATTTACGGATTTGCTTTTAAACCTCCTCCCTTGTCACTTCATTTTGATCTCTCTGCATTTATTTAGTGTGGATTTAGCATGGGCATCTCCCCAGTATTTTCTACTGCCCAGCTTAGTACCCAGGTTCTGATATACTTTTAAAGAATTCTTCTTTGTTTTTTCACAAAACACGTTTCAAATTTCCTTTTGGCCTGCCTTACTCTGCTTTACAATTAACCTGCTAGAATTGGTATGGTTTCCTGCTTTCCTCCTTGGGCCACAGACCTACTTGAACCTCTCTTGCGTCAGAGTAGGTGCTGCTTAATATGTGTTTTCTCAACACAGTGTTTTAAAGCATTTGCGTTTAGCTGGTAGTGATGTGCTCAACAAAATGCTAACTCAGCCTCCTTTCCTCTTCTTAGGTGCATACAGCCGAGCTACGAGTAGCATCTAAGTGTCACCTTGTCCTTGCCACCCATTGTCTCCCCTCACCTCTGACCCTCACTGTCAAGCATTTGCATTTTCACAGACCTGCATTTTACATACTGGTTTCTATTTCATCCAGGGGAACAGAAAACACCATCACATTCTCCCTACGCCTGAAGAAGGGTGTTTGTGAGCAAAAGCTTGCAAAAAAAACCAAACATTTTTCAAACTAATTTGGTTGGTCTAATAAAAGATATTACAAAAGACCCTGTCCAGAATGATTTTATATTGAGTACCACGTGCAGACCACCTGCCACCTCGTTCTAACTGTTTTACATGATTCCAGCCCAACCGGAGTGCTAGCTGTGTGCCGTCACTGCCTAGCACCATCCCTCTGGTCACCTAGACTCTGTCTCATTCATCTTTGCCATTTCTGTACAAGGATGGTAAACTGTTTTGGGAAGGGAGTGCATCTTACTATGTGTTTGCTCAGCGTGCTGCTTAGATGCCCCATGACATATTTTGGAGGCACTATGAGATGTAAAATAAAATTTGCTGGTTATCAACTGTGCCGGTTCTTCCTCCGTTCTCCCTGCAAGCATTATTCCCCGGAACAAGAGATAATGCATGGAGGGGGTTGGAATTGGGCTATTTCTGAGCATTGCTGAGTCTTTTGAATTGGGCTTTGAATATAGAGCCGGAGGTCTGTTTCCATTCAATTTTCCTGATAAAAAGAAGTATTTTTCTAAACTTAACCTTTGTCACAGTATTCCTATTTCTTCAAAACTGTTAACTTACATAGAAACACTTATATTAAAATGTAAAAAGGTTCAAAAAAGGAAAGAAGAAAATTTGATTTAAAATGTGTTATTTCTGGCAGTTTTGCTTTAAAATATCCAGTTGTTAAAAACTGAAATAATAAATGGGTTCTGGGTGACAAATTGAAATTTTCTGGGGGGAGGTTTTCTCTGGTTGTTTTGTTTCATTTTGATGATTCCCCCCCCCTGCCCAGCTAGAGCATTTTTAATACATTTACATTCTCCTCTATGTTTCCAGGTTTATCTCATTTTCAAGTTTTTAAATGACACTCACTCACTCATTTTTTAACCACCCAAATACATTTCATTGCAACAACAAACTGGCTGCAGTTTACTTACTCAGGTTTTTCCTGGTTTGTGATCTGATTATCTAGTCCCAGGAGTCTTTATTCACTTTCCTTCTATCTATCTATATAATTTCCCTTTTTCCTAAAACAGTCTTATCTTGGTGTTACATGCTCAGATATCTTACCTTCACTCCATGACTGACAGAACTAGACCCAAACCAGTTTGTCACTAGAGAGAATTGAAGACCTGAAGCTGCAGGAAGCAGATTTAACCACGTCTCTCTTGGGCCACGTGGGACCGTTCCCTAGAATCCAGCTTAGCTTTGATGCAGACAGCCAGAGGGAAACATTCCCAGATTGAAATATTTAAAAGTATTAATTTTAATCTTTTGGTTAGACTACTATGTAATTGTTTGTCCTGCTTTGGGGCCAAGATCTGTATCATAGGGAGGCCAGACTACCAAAGATATTTAGGCACCTAACAATTCAGAGGCAGTCAGACACTTTCAGGGCATGTGTATTTTAAGGCACATCATCACCTCTCGTATACATGGCCTGGCATCTTCCCTCTTGCCTTTTATGCTATGTACTTCTTGGTGTATTAAATAAAAATGTCGCCGTGTCCACCCTGTTCTGCTTCAAACTCTGTGGTCTTCTTGACTTTCAGATGAATGAGTTGTGGGATTAGCAAAGGATAGACAAGTTTGAGAAATGCAACTCTTCAGTGCTCTGTTCCTTTAGACTCCATAAATAGCCTATCCAAAAATGGCAACAAGCAGACAGAGACAGTAGGGGATAGGGGGGACAGATTAAGAGGGCTGGGATCCCTCAAAACTGCCCATAACTCTTCAACTAGCACTTTTGAGGTCAATAATTCAATTTTGATGACTTTCTTTGGGAATTTTTTAACTGTATGTTAACATTGCTGTCACCCTTTCAATGCCCCATTCAATGCCCTGTGTCTCTGATACAGGCCAGAATCAGAAAATGGACCTCTTACAAACTGGACCATGGGCCGCAGAAGGGAGTGGGCCACCTGGACCATGGCCTGACCAGCTTTTAGCATGTTAATTTAGCTAGGTATGCAGTTAAAAGATAGCTATACAGTTTTAACCAGCAAGACAATTGTGCATTTGTGGGGTATATAAATGAACATGCTAAAAGTTGGTCGGACCATGGCCCGAGTGGCTCACCCCATTCTGCAGCCTATGAACTGGACCAGCTCCTGTAGTGATGCCTTGAATGCAATTGCTACAGCGATGCCTACCTGAGTCTACAGAGAGCCTGAGACAATTGCCGTGGGACAGAGAAAGTGTCCCTAGTATCTCCATGGGGTTTAATTTTCAGCCCCACTGATCACTGGTACCCTTCCAGCTGCATACAACTTGATGGGGTCGGGAAGGGAAAGCAGTAGTCTGGCCTTCCTTCCCAAACTAGACCTGCCATGGCTTGAGGGGTAAGGGCAAGGAGACTGAACTACATCATGCATGTCAGGGGCACCCTGATCTCAAGGGGGTAGTTTAATGAAACACAATGCTCCTGTTTTCCAAAATCATCCTGGGAGCTACAGTGCTGAAGGCAAGGACTTGTGAGAGCAGCCACAGATGCTGCTCTTCAGGAATGAGCAGGGATGTTCATAATGGCCAGGTCTGCCCTAGCTTCCAGGTCAAGAATTTCATAGACATCAGGGCTGGAAGGGACCTCAGAAGATCATCGAGTCCAGCCCCCCGCCCAAAGGGCAGGAAGTCAGCTGGGGTCATA